ATATTAAGCTGCGGTCACACTAGAGTTTGTGAAATTCTGTCGAACGGCTCAGCGAAAAGGGGCGGGATTAAACAAGATGATTAGACGTTTAAAAAGTGAGTGATTGCTCCATATTTTTAATTTCCGTCCAGAGAGGTCATGTTTTGGTCCTCGATTGGTCTCACGCAGTCTAGTGATGCAATTTCGCAGGTCAGGGTTCACCAAGCTTCAACTTAGCACAGCAGCAACCTGCGAAACTTGACGCATGACCCTGTGTTTCTGGTCTGACACATTTGCGTGCGTATGAATTGAAGTCTATGGGAGGAAAAGCCCAGTGTGACCGCAGCTTAATTTCTCCTGATGCATCACTTTAAAGCCTTTACGTCTGGAACATAAAGACATTAACCTGTCCGCAGCCTTGTCAATCTTATTACACTAATGGAGTCCTCAAAAAAAAAAAGCCAAGAGAAGCGATCAGCGTTTTTTTTTTTTTTTTCAATCTATAAAGCAAGAAACCCAAATTGAAGGAAAGAAAGCAAAGCTCAGGATCTCAGCTCACCGTGATTCATTGTTTATCAGGATGAAGGTTTACAGCTCACCAGTGAATGTGCCATTTGGGAAATTATTTTGGGATATTGGCTTCAGCGTCCAGACAGAGCGCACTGTTCCAACTGTGTGTGTGTGTGTGTGTGTGTGTGTGTGTGTGTGTGTGTGTCTCCATCTGTGCTCCTGTTGTTCATTACAGACCAAGCGTGGGCTGTTACGCACACGCTAGAGCTGTTGATATTCCTGACACTGCTGCTTCAACACATATTCATTACACATTCAGTTTCACAGCAGACATGTCAAAGCCGCAGCGCCCCGAATCATAACCCTGCGGGCGGATGAGCATTTCAGCTCTGGCGTCTCTGATGCTTTAATTGGGCTGTTGTCATAATTGTCTTCTCTTCGTTTCCCACTTCTTCTTCATCTTAAACCCTGGTGTGACTCACAGCAAACACGCCTCTCACTTTCTCTCCTTTTAGACCCAGTCTTGACTTCCTCCTGTCTGAAGTCTTTCTCTCTCTCAGGTTTGAAATGTCAGTAAAGTACCAGTTTACCATGGCAACCATTGCGTTTCATCATAAATACCGTAGATGCTGCAGTTACTATATTAAAACTGCGGTAACTTGCGATTAGTCATCACTGTGCCAATTACATTTCAGTTTTTCTACTTGAGAACTGATTATATTTACCAGTATATTACTAATGTATGTTATTATTTTGGGCGGCACAGTGGCTCAGTGGTTAGCACTGTCACCTCACAGCAAAAAGATTGCTGGTTCAAGTCCCTAATGGGCCAGTTGGCATTACTGTGTGGAGTTTGCACGTTCAAAGACATGCACTATAGGTGAAATGAATGAACTAAACTGGCTGTAGTGTATGAATGCGTGTGTGAATGAGTGTATATGGGTGTTTCCCAGTGCTGTATTGTGGCTGGTAGGGCATCCGCTGCGTAAAACATATGCTGGAATAGTTGGCGGTTCATTCCACTGTGGCAGCCCCTGATAAATACGGGACTAAGCCAGGGGAAAATGAATAAATGAGTTGTGATTTTAAAAATACCATGGTCATACAATGTTTTTGGCCATTTACAACAGTAATACTATGATTTATTTGATACGCAATAATGTAGCGCTACTTTCATTGAATGTTTACCATTGTAATAACATTGTATCCGCTTGTTAAGTGTGACGTCACGCGAAGTGGCTTCCGGGTCCAAGGGCTCTATTCAACTGTATGGGGAGACTCATGAAATGGTAATAATAAACGTTTACTAAGTGCTGTAATACTTTCGAAAATCATGATCACAATATATATATGTCCATGCCTAATATCCGATGGCCAGAAAGTGATTAATTTTTTAAAAAATTGTTAAAATTTTGGTATTTGTTATGCAGCAAGCCCAGAGACTGTTGTGTACACTATGACTTTATATAAAATTAACTTTAATGTGTGATAGGAATAAAAAGTGATCATAAACTAATCATTTTTCAACTCAAATGAGTGGCGGCTTGGACCCGGAAACAGTATTACATACGTCACAAACACGTCACCACTTAACAAGCGGATTGTACTATAGATTGTTTTTTCAATGTAATTTGTACTATAGATTGTTTTTTCAATGTAATTTGTACTATAGATTGTTTTTTCAATGTAATTTGTACTATAGATTGTTTTTTCAATGTGATTTGTGTTATAGATTGTTTTTTCAATGTAATTTGTACTATAGATTGTTTTTTCAATGTAATTTGTGTTATAGATTGTTTTTTCAATGTAATTTGTACTATAGACTGTTTTTTCAATGTAATTTGTACTATAGATTGTTTTTTCAATGTAATTTGTACTATAGATTGTTTTTTCAATGTAATTTGTACTATAGATTGTTTTTTCAATGTAATTTGTACTATAGATTGTTTTTTCAATCTAATTTGGACTATATATTGTTTTTTCAATGTAATTTGTATTATAGATTGTTTTTTCAATGTAATTTGTACTATAGATTGTTTTTTCAATGTAATTTGTACTATGGATTGTTTTTTCTATGTAATTTGTATTATAGATTGTTTTTTCAATGTAATTTGTACTATGGATTGTTTTTTCAATGTAATTTGTGTTATAGATTGTTTTTTCAATGTAATTTGTACTATAGATTGTTTTTCAATGTAATTTGTGTTATAGATTGTTTTTTCAATGTAATTTGTACTATGGATTGTTTTTTTAATGTAATTTGTACTATAGATTGTTTTTTCAATGTAATTTGTACTATAGATTGTTTTTTCAATGTAATTTGTATTAGAGATTGTTTTTTCAATGTAATTTGTACTATAGATTGTTTTTTCAATGTAATTTGTACTATAGATTGTTTTTTTAATGTAATTTGTACTATAGATTGTTTTTTCAATGTAATTTGTGTTATAGATTGTTTTTTCAATGTAATTTGTACTATGGATTGTTTTTTCAATGTAATTTGTATTATAGATTGTTTTTTCAATGTAATTTGTGTTATAGATTGTTTTTTCAATGTAATTTGTGTTATAGATTGTTTTTTCAATGTAATTTGTACTATAGATTGTTTTTCAATGTAATTTGGACTATATATTGTTTTTTCAATGTAATTTGTATTATAGATTGTTTTTTCAATGTAATTTGTACTTAGATTGTTTTTTCAATGTAATTTGTATTATAGATTGTTTTTTCAATGTAATTTGTACTATAGATTATTTTTTCAATGTAATTTGTATTAGAGATTGTTTTTTCAATGTAATTTGGACTATAGATTGTTTTTTCAATGTAATTTGTATTATAGATTGTTTTTTCAATGTAATTTGTGTTATAGATTGTTTTTTCAATGTAATTTGTACTATAGATTGTTTTTTCAATGTAATTTGTACTATAGATTATTTTTTCAATGTAATTTGGACTATATATTGTTTTTTCAATGCAATTTGTATTATAGATTGTTTTTTCAATGTAATTTGTACTATAGATTGTTTTTTCAATGTAATTTGTACTATGGATTGTTTTTTCAATGTAATTTGTATTATAGATTGTTTTTCAATGTAATTTGTGTTATAGATTGTTTTTTCAATGTAATTTGTGTTATAGATTGTTTTTTCAATGTAATTTGTACTATAGATTGTTTTTTCAATGTAATTTGGACTATATATTGTTTTTTCAATGTAATTTGTATTATAGATTGTTTTTTTAATGTAATTTGTATTATAGATTGTTTTTTCAATGTAATTTGGACTATAGATGGTTTTTTCAATGTAATTTGTATTATAGATTGTTTTTTCAATGTAATTTGTATTATAGATTGTTTTTTCAATGTAATTTGGACTATAGATTGTTTTTTCAATGTAATTTGTATTATAGATTGTTTTTTCAATGTAATTTGGACTATAGATTGTTTTTTCAATGTAATTTGGACGTTGACTGTTACTATCATGATTTTTAAGGGAGGATATACATAATAGGCTGTGATTGTTTTATGTAGATCCAAGGATTATGTTTTATTGGTGTGTACCATAGTACTCCCATGTATTTATTTAATATGTACGTATGTTTTTGGTGATGGCAGCTGAAAGACACCTCTCCTATGCAGAATGTGGGTCTCCTCTATCAAATCTTTATTCTGTATTTTCTATTGGATTCAAGTCAGGTGATTGGTTGGGCCATTCTACAGCTTGATTTTCTTTCTCTGAAACCATTTGAGAGTCTCCTCGGCTGTGTTTTGGATGATTGTCTTGTTGAAATGTCCACCCTGGTTTCATCTACATCATCCTGCTAATGTAGATGTGGGACTGAAGAAGGTAAAATTCATTTACAATAGCGAAGGGCAGAGGTTTGCTGAATAAAACTGGGAGATTTCAGCTGCTGTCTGGGCTTTCACTGCCTTTCTACACCTCCTCTTCTTCATGTGTTCATTATTTTTTCAGTGTCATTTCATTTCATTACACATTACTTAATTTGCAAACTAATAATTAGTGTTTTCTTGGCAATTATGGATTTCTTTGTTTGTTAACAACATTTGGTAAAAATGTCAAGTCAACAGCACCTTTAGAAACATGTTTTCTGAGAAAAATGAATACGTGTTCAATACTTATTTACCCCACTGTATGTAAATTTTGGAAGTGTACTATTGTAATAATATTTTAATTTGATTTAGGTGTGGGGCATGTTTTTAGATTTTGGACTTGTATCATAGCAGTTTGTACCACAAAACTTTTCATACCATGGTGTTTTTGTATGTTTACTTTAATTATTACTTCGGGGTATTTGTAATGTTATATGTATATCCGTTATTATTTAACATAATTTGATGATACATTTTGTAAATGTATGATTATAATACTCTGAACAACATCAGAGTATTATGCACTGAAAAATACAGTTATTTAAAAGTAGCATGACTTAACATTGGAAATCATTTCTGTTTTATTTTTATATACGATTTCTGAACTTTCTGTGTGTTTCAGGAGGCACTATGTCTGTACAGGGTCAGGATATTTCTGAATATCATCTGAGCGGTGAGCAGTCATCATTCACACATCTCTTGATTTCATCCAAGTATTTCTCTTTGTGATTTTCTCACTGTGTTGTGTGTGTGTTTGTGTGTTCAGTGGTGCTGAACCCGCCGGGATGGGAGGTGTGTTTGTTTGTGTTCGGGTTTCTGGTTCTGTTTGCTGTGGTTATAGTCAATCTGTGGAGATTATATAAATCCGGCACCTTCCCGACTCCCTCTCCATTCCCGAACTTTCACTACCGCTACCTGCAGGAGAAATATGGCTCGTCCCACTCCGAGGTCAGACAAAAGGTGAGCAAAACAATACTCTAACATTGAGTTAAGCTGGCTGAAATCAAACTGAGGTCTGCAAAACAAATATAGCTTTTCTTTCTATATAACAGTTGAAGTCGAAATGATTCGCCCTCTTGTGAAATGTATTCTTTTTCTAATATTTCTCAAGTGATGTTTAACAGACCGATGAATTTTATTATAATATTTATAACATTTTTTTTTCTGGGAAAAGTTTTATTTCTTTTAGTTGGCCTGGAATAAAAGCAGTTTTTAATGTTTTTCAAACTATTTAAAGGACAATATTATTAGCCACCTTGGGAAATATTTTTGTTTGATTGTCTACAGAACAAACCACTGCTAACTTGCCTAGTTAATCTAATTAATTAACCAAGTTAGGCCTTTAAATTGCAATATATATATATATATATATATATATATATATATATATATATATATATATATATATATATAGGTATATATATATATATATATATATATATATATATGTATGTATGTA